GTCACCAACATGACTGCAGAATTGTCTGAAACCACAGAGGGGAAAAGAGGAAAACCAATGTAAATGGCTGAAATGCTGCTTACATCTTCATTAGATTCCACAGTTTTCCCTGTTGATATGCTCAAGATGCTAGAGCAGCCTGCTAAGTGTCATAGTGGATTACAGCATAATAGCTTACCCACCTGACTTTCCCAGGGAAACAAATATACTGCTAAAGCCTCTCCTTAAGAACTTGAGTTGAGCCTATTGACTCACACACGATGTTATAAAGGGTATGAAGGCAGTTGAAGCCAAGTGGCTTCTGTTGGTATCAGAAATCTGCAGGAGCATAAGCTAATTTTTATTTCTTGTTCTTATGGGGCTAGAAGCACTTAACTATTGTTATCTAATATGTTGCCAGTGAACATAGTCTAAAAAGCACAAAGAAAGTAATATGCAATTACAGAACTGAAAATAAGCTACTGATTGGGTGCAAATTCATCAAGCCTCTTTATTTCTCTGAAAGCGTTTTTATTGGATGCCAACACAGCTTGATTTTGGAAGAATACAAGTGACTGAACAAGTAACATAGTGAGAAACCTGACCTCTAGTTGATTTCAATTGTGCTGTTTGTGAACTGTGCATCTTTCCCACCCAACATGCTTGTTTATAAATTTCAGTTAATGATCAGTCATTCATGAATAACCAAGATTCTATGGACTGAATCTTTACTACCTAAATTCATGTTGTAATTATAAATGCTAAAACCATGGCACAGGCTTTGAGAGGGGCCCTGCCCTCACAAATGGTATAGTGCTCTAATGAAAAGCATACATACGGATGAAGATCTCTTTTGCCCACTCTGTCATGTGAAGACATGGCCTTCTGAAAACCAGGAGGCAGGCTGTGACCTGAAACCAAATGTAGTCACTTTGATTATAGGTTTTATCCTTCAGGGTGTTGAGAAATAAATCTCTGTTGTATGTTAGTCACCCAGCCCATGGCATCCTGCTATAGCATCCTTGGACAAACCAAGAAAGTCCAGTGTTCATTTTCCCCAAAAGTGACAAGTTTCTTTTCAAGTGAGAAATAATGAGATGAGTTTGAGCCCTGGAAATATGATTCTCTAAGCTATTCTCAGCCCACTATACCATATTGCTTATCATGCACAAATGCATTGTCTATATAAAGGAGCTCTTTTGTAAAACAGATCCTCGGCACACCTCTCTTCTGGTGCTAAACCACCACAGGGTTCTTTTTATTCCCTCTTCTTTCCTTTACTCTCTCCTTTTCTTTTCTTTCCTCTGCTAGATAAGGTTTCACAGTAGTCCAGGCTGGTCTTGAACTTCCCACATAGCTGAGAATGACAGGGAACTTCTATTCCTCTGATTTCCACCTTCCAGGTTTATGTGGTGCCAGGGATAAAATCCAGTGTTTCATCCATGCTGGGTAAACATTCTACTACCTAAGCTCCATCTCCAGCCTGGGTCTTTTCTTAAAGCAGTGGTTTGCAATTGCTCTTTTCTGGAATGTATATCAAATATCATTTTCATTACAACTCTCTCTTTCTGCCTCACTGCAGAAAGCATATCTGAATGAATGCCATTCAAAATTATGATTTTTATACCTGGCCTTATATTCACATGGTAAAGTTTAGCAGTATGTAATGGAAATCATATTACAATGCTTGGAAAAATAGTAAGTTTTTTTCTTTCCCTCTTTTATTTTCTCATGCCCAGACATATTGGAGAAGCCAATGAAGGCTTGTGTAGTTGCTTAAAGAATTTACCAAGAACCTTCTTTCTACCTGACATTCACCATACTTACTGTCTACCTTCAATACTCAAGGTTGCTTCCTCACTTAAGATATTCCATCTGTAAGGAAGATAGGAAGAAAAAGCACAAGGGTCAGATCTTACAAGCAGTAGTCATCTACAAGGTGAAATTGTCCCTTTCCATCAGATCTCCAGTAAAATCCTTCTGCTAGCATCTTTAGCTCACTGGCCACATTTGTTTGTTCATAGTCTTGCCTACTTATAAGAGTATCAATGAAGCTGAGTATTGTATTCTGAGAAAATCCTTGATCCTGTCTCGAACCAGGTCTCTGGCAGTTAGAAGAAGAGAAAGGCCGATATACAGGCAATCAGCAGTTTGTGCCATGTATAAAATCACAAACAAAACATTTTTTCTTTCATTGGTCACTGGCAATTTTGAAGTATACTCCATTACTGGGCACAGCCTACTAGTGACATGTCGACTTTATTGTTAAGAATATTTGGCTGGGCGGTGGTGGCGCACGCCTTTAATCCCAGCACTTGGGAGGCAGAGCCAGGCAAATCTCTGTGAGTTCGAGTCCAGCCTGATCTACAAAGTGAGATCCAGGACAGGTTCCAAAGCTACACAGAGAAACCCTGTCTCGAAAAACCAAAAACAAACAAACAAACAAACAAACAAACAAGCAAAGTTTACCTACAGGAGAAATGCAACTCCTGTTCCCATCCTAACAAATACATGTATGGGAAGAAGGATCTTTTATAAATTCATGCTTCATTACCTATATCTCTTTGCTTCAGTCACCATAGCATCTCTTCATTGTATAGTGCAGTTGTTTTTATTTTATTTTTTTATATTTCATGTTTTCTCAGGAAGATGATTTAACCTTCTCTATCTGGTAAAACATTACTTATGCTTCAAGACAGTCCAAATACCATCATATCTTGGAAAGGTCCTTCCCTCCTCAGATCTATTTCTGGTACTGTGTGCACACCTCCGTAGGTACCTTGTCATTATTTGCTTGCATATGTGTCACTACTGACAAGTGCTATGGCCTCTTCTAGAACAAGGGCTTTAATTTATTTGACTTTTCCTACCCAGTGTCTGCTGCAGTTCCTGGCATAGGTTCAAGATACTTGCTTAAGGAAATGCATAACTGAAAATTCCCTCTAATGTACAGATGACCTACAAAGAATTGACTCAAGCTGTTCTCCATGCAGTCAGTCGGGAAAGGCGCCTTGATCTATGCCCCTTCGGTCTAGACCTCAGTGGATCAATGACTGGTGGCAAAAATAGGAGAGACAGAGAGGGTCTTTTTGGTCTTAATTGGTGATATTAACATAATTCAGCATTATAAAGATTCATTTGTATATTCTGTTGTCTGACCTTCAGCCCTGTGATCAATAGTTATTCCATTTTATATTTCTTTGTGTGTAATGGGAGATAAGTTTTGTTTCCTTAAAAAAAAAAAAAAAAAAAACAGAAAACTCTACTGTTGAAGAGCAGAAAGACCTCGTTTAATTTGGATTAATTCAAACTGTACTTAAAAAAATATTTCTTTGTTAACTTTTAGTTTTTTTTTAAGTGACTATATTCATTTATGCTTAGCAAATAGTAGCTGTTATTAGAGCAAAATTAGGAACAGTCAGGAATCAGGTGAGGATAAAAGATGAAAAAGGAGTCAGAAAAAAGTCCACCCCTAGATTTGGCCAAGGGCTTATAGTTGACAAACATGAAATCTTGATACGATGCCTTCCTTCTGCCTTTGTTTCCCAGGATATGGAGGTTAGATATTGGTAGCCAGTCACAGAACCTTCCCCAGGCTAGGGATACAGTGAAGCAGTAGTACACTTACCTAGCACATATAAGGCGTTAGGTGAAGTCTGTAACACCACAAAAACAGACAAACAAGTAACTGTCTGCTTGAGCCCAGAAATGGCCTATGAATCCATGTCAATGCTAAGGTACTTCAGAAGTCTGTGAAAAAAGCAGAGCAGTGAGCTTATCCTTCCATCATCAATGCAGCCTCCATAAGATCTACTTAGTCAGTGCACTTCCTGTGATGAGGTATTCCCTTTACCCATTTACAAAGTAAAGGCTGTCACCTGTAGCTAGAGTTTTCCTGCCTTGCCCACAGTCAGGACAAATCTTTGTCACCCGCCAGTCCCACAGCTGCTCAGATCCAACCAAGTAAACACAGAGACTTATATTGCTTACAAACTGTGTGGCTGTGGCAGGCTTCTTACTAACTGTTCTTACAGCTTAAATTAATCCATTTCCATAAATCTATACCTTGCCACGTGGCTCGTGGTTTATCGGCATCTTCACATGCTGCTTGTCCTGGCAGCAGCTGGCAGTGACCTTTTCTGCCTTCCTCTTCTTTCTTTCCTCCTCTCTGTTAGTCCCGCCTATACTTCCTGCCTAGCCACTGGCCAATCAGTGTTTTATTTATTGACCAATCAGAGCAACTTGACATACAGAATATCCCACAGCAGTCACCTTAACAGTGCATCTGCAGGTGTTCCACCTTTCCCTTCAAAGATCAAATTTGTTGTCTTGCAATCATCAATCTACAACTTCTCTCCTTGCTTTCTATCTCTGCTAGGGAATGGAAGGGTTCATCCTTCTCATAGACTGCAATCGAGCAAGGAGTGAGTTTACATGGACTGAGTAGCAGGAACTATATTTGACACTTTCTATCAATATCATTTGTTTCTCTAACCACATGAGGTCATTATTATAAATATCCCCATTTTACAGATGAGGAGATGGCCACCAAAAGATTAAGTCATTTGCTTAAAATCTCAAAGCTGATAAATGATGAAGGTAAGATTCAGTCTAAGATCCTTGATATCCAGTATCTTGCTAATGGACTGTGGAGAGTTAATTGGTTTAAAATCTGCTCTGTGGTTTTTTTTTTTTTTTTTTTTTAAATCTAGCTATAGGAATATTTAAGACTCACAGTGAATGCCAAAATATACTTGGTTTTTTTTTTTTTTTTTTTTAAATCATACCACAAAGTACTTTGCTTTGATAATAGCCTAGAGCCTTGATGCCATCAGTTTTTTGAGTCTTTCAGCTTCTGGAGGCAGATGAAAAATGAATAAATATAGATCATATATATGAGAAACAACCATCTTACTTAGGACTTCATACCCTTCAGGTATATATTCTGTCCCTCCGGAGACTCTGTTGATGGAAATGGAAAACGTATCTAGGTTTAATTTCTTGTGCCTCCTTTCCTGCAGGATGTCGTCCATATCAGGTGATCACAGCCAGAGTTCACCCAGGAGAGAGCAATGCCAGCTGGGTGATGAAGGGGACCTTAGAGTTTCTGGTCAGCAATGACCCTGTGGCAAAGCTCTTGAGGGAACACTTCGTGTTCAAGATCATCCCTATGCTCAACCCAGATGGTGTCATCAATGGCAAGTATGTCACCTGCCTAGCCTAATGGACGCACAACTGCATTCATGTTACTATGGTAATAAACCACTGCTGTCTCATCCAAGGGGCATAATAGGAGAGGCCTTGGTACTTGTGGGGGACCTGCCCCCATTTTTACCCTGGGTACTCTTGAGGAGAGAGGGAGAAAATATCAGGTAGAAAGAAAGACTTAGACGATGAGAAGAAAGACAGAAACACAGGATGGCTTCAGGAGGGCCTAGGTCAATACCCAACTTTATTCAAAAGGGCTTTTTATAACAATGCCAAGGGGTGAGGCAAAAGGCTTCCCCCTTGCTAGATACATCCAAGTGCAGACCCTTTCAAACACCTGGTAACCATGCCCATGGTCAGATTATCCCTTCATTCAGTCCTGCTGTGTAAAGCAAGCTCAGATTCTCTGACTTTGAGTAATTTGGGCCTCTACAGGTAGTCTAGAGGGAACTCTCTTGGGCTCTTTCTATCTGGAACAATTAACAGTGTGTCCTCCATGCACATTTGTACATGGCTCATGGTATTTCTTTGAATAGAAATATATGGAAACATAAGCATTTGGTACCAGGGAGTTATGCAGCTAACATACTCCAGTTCTCCATTCACAAAGGAAGGCACTGGTATCCAGGGTCCTAACCACTCACCTGGATCACATGGTGAACCAGTGGCATTTCAGGGATCAGTCTGAGTCTTCATGTTGACTACCAATGATTTTACATTAGTATTAGTTCTAGGTGCAAAGAAATATTTATTCCATTATATTTTACTTGTTTCTGAATATATTTAAGAGTTTCACTTCAATGAAATGGAATGCTGCCTGGAATGAAGTGTGGTATACTCATTTTCACTCTGCTGCTGCATACCTTTAGGATGTATCAGGGAATAAGACTATTTCATTTGATGATATCTGTCAGAAGGGCTCAGAGTCTGAGCTCAGGCCCATATGAAGTCCCCAAGATCACACAACCAGGGAATGGTGGGACTAACTTTTACAGATACCTGTTTAGATGCCTTATTTAGTAATAGATGGCTCTTTTTCCCAGAAGAATGGGGATTCTGTTCTATGGATAAACAAAATGAAAGATGAATAGAAAATACTGAGAGGAAAAATATTATTTCAAAGACTAAAGTGAAAATCATACTTTAAAATACTATTAGCAAATAATCAAAAATTAAGTTTAGAAAAATAAAGTGATAGTAAAGTGGTGAAAAACAACAAATAAAAAGAATCGTAAAGAAACACTAAACCATAAATGATTAAATGACTTAAACAAATAAGAATAAGACAGATAAAATGGTCATTTCCTTTAAGAAAGGGAATAAAATGTTAAACAACTCCAATAGATTGCTTTCTTTTGATAAGTATAAAGACAGATTAAATTTGAAGTGTTAAGAATATGATGACTACAAACGTAAAAGGAATAGCCTAAACCCAAAACATGAAATGTCATAAAGCATATCAAAGCAAACCAATCAAAGCTATAGACTATAGTAGTGCTGCTTATAGGAGATTAAAAAAAGAATGAATGAAAGAAAGAAGTACAAATGAAGAGAAGAAAAGATGAAAGAAAAGAAAGTATACCAATCTACATTTGGTATACTAGGTTAACATAACTGGGTTAACTCAGTAGTTCACAGCTGTTATTTATTTATTTCCATCTTTCCTTTCCTGCTTATGCATCAATTTATTCATTCATTTATGTATTTACTAGGTGGAGGTTTTTTTTGATGAGGACCACAAGGTCCTTTTTCTCAATGCTGACTGCATTTAGGGTCAGGAGCCCCGGGTCTTCATTGAAGACTGAGTCTCCTCTGGCAGCAATGAGATTTCTAGGATCTTAGGCTGGACCAGGTTCTGGAGTAGTGTCTTTTAATGCTACTCAGAGTACACCTGACTCCTGCCATGTGTTCCTCTAAGTCCACAGTAGATCTCCTGCTGCTCACTGCTTGAGTAGCCAAAAATTTTTTCTAGAGATCTTTCTCAGCTAGTAAATGGATGGATAATTGCTAAGGAAGGCATCTTGAGGGACATGACCCCATTTGGATATTTTCTTATCCAACTTGGCTCTCTTCTTCTCTTTCTATGGAACTGTCAGAGGTCAGGAAGAAATTGGAAAGAGAACTAGGAGTGTTAGCTGAATAGGAGCCCTGTCTGTCCCTTGGTCTGCTCAGTTTTCTCCTTTGGTGGAAGAAGACAATGTGCTCCTGATAGACTTTTTTTTTTTTTTTTTTAAGAAAAAAATGTCTCACATCCCCAAAGCAATATTCAAGCTCAGGAAATAAGCACTGAAGCTTCTATTTCAAATGCTCATACCTCCAAATTAGGGCTTGCTCCAGGTCTTTGGTCAAAGTTAATGGGGTTTCAGTCACTGAGGAGCCTGTTGGCTGGTATGCACATTATTTCCAGCTCACAGCTGGTTACTTTGTTTCCCAAATGGCAGGGCAGCTTCTTCATAGTGACAAGGGCATTCCTCATCATTACTATTATTTATTATGACTCTGATTGCTCTTTTTATTTATATAACATCTTTCTTCATAGAATCTGAAGCACTTTGTAGATCACTTGGACCGAGCAAACAAGGATGGCTGAAAAATAATTAGAAATCATAACACTTTCCACAGATAGAATAATCTGCAGGCCATAGCATATCATTATGAAAGGACTCAATGCTTCTGGGGATGCATAGCATTTCACAATAAAAAGCTTAAAACTCAAGATCCTGAGCCCATTTCAGAACAGACCTAACATTTATCTGCTTCATCTAACTTTCATTTGAGTTACTTCTGTGATTGATATTCCATTGTCGGGTCATGCTTATGAATAATTAGGTGGGGGTGACTTTTATTGTGTTTCAGTCTTTACTCTTTGAGCTTCATCTATTGTAGTCAGTCTTTCCTTCATAGATCATTTTTTCCTGTACACATTCAAATTTCCCCATGAGAAATATTCTCCAAGCTTAATGCAATTCACCTAAACTTTATTTATGGTTTTCATTCCTGATGTTCAGAAGGTCACTGATTTTCTCTGGACATAATGCTTATTAACAGAGATCTTAAGCAACAGAGGTGCTCTGTATATATCTGACTAATAAGGAGATAATCTTTGTATAAATTAGCAATTCCAAACATCAACGTGGCATGTAGAGCTAGACTACACTTTGTGTACTTGTGTGTTTGCCTCTCTGTGCATCCCCAGGTGTTCGTGCACATGGATGTGTGTGCATCCATGTGGAGACTAAAGCATACTGTTGGATGTTGTTCCTCAGATACCATCTATGGTGGATAATTTTGGTTGTCAATTTGACTACATCTAGGATCAACTAACACCCAAAAATCTAGGCAAACCTGTGAGGAATTTTGTTTTTCATTTTTCTTTATTAAGAAATTTTCTACTCAGTCCGCATACCACCCACAGATCCCCCTCCTCCCACCTCCCCAGCCCTCTTTCCCAAGCCACCCCTCATCCCCACATTCCCCAAATCAAGGTCTCCCATGGGGAGTCAGCAGAGCCAGGCACACTGAGCCTAGGCAGGTCCAAGCCCCTTCCCACTGCACCAAGGCTGTACAAGGCATCACACCACAAGCACCTGAGGAATTTTCTTAATCGGATCATTTGAGCTCAGGAGACATGGCTTCTGGTGGCAGACTACATAAAAGAGCACGGGAGAAGGAAACTTGGGTTTTTGTTTTTTGCCTGCTTTCCCTTCACTCTTAGAAGCAAGTTCATCTGTCCTGTTGCTGAGACATTCCTCCATTGGTATTAGAATCCACTTCTACTACTGAAGACCAGTTGTTCTCCCAAAATTCCCTGGTACCCCAACACCAGATTGGGCCCACTAAGACATCTTGTCTTGTTGACTGAACAAATACTGAATTCTTGGCTTTTTGGGTGGGATATAGCCATTCTTGTACTATTTAGACAACAGCCTGTTAGTCATTCTCATAAATATCATTATATATATAATATAGTATTATATATATAAAATGTAGTATATTATATAATTTATATATATTTAATATATCTACATTTAATATATTATATTTAATGTATTTTTATATAACATTATATAAACATATAAAATACACTTGAGTAAAAATATAAATATAATCATACATATCTTACACACACACACACACACACACACACACACACACACACACACACACACATTTTTATCAGTTTTGTTCCTTTAGAGAACCTTGACTAATGCACCATTCATCTTACGTTTCATTGTTCTGGGACTTACCAAGTTGGCCGACTGACCAAGGAGCCCCAGGGACCTACCTATTTTTATTTCTCCAGTTCTGGAATTTTGAGTGCTAGCTGTCATACCTGGCATTTTTGTTTCTAATGTTGGTTCTGGGGGACCAAACTCACCTCTAATGCTTACAAGGCAAGTGTTTTGCTGGATCAGTGTATTTTCCCAACCCCATAACAAACTTTTAATTTAAAACTTATCATGGACCTCCATGGAGCTTGCAAACATGTGTAATAATAGAGCAGTTTCCTTTTGTGGCAACGGTGATGGAGCCTCTGAGGATGGCTGGGAGATATTGATAATAGTGGTTGGGGAGACACAGCCAGGCATTTCTAGCAAGAAAAATATAGTGAGTCTTGCCAAGTCAAGGATCTCTTAGCAACACAAGTCTGAACAGGGAAACAAATACAAAGATGGATCTGTTATGAAGAATTCCAAAAGAAACAATTTCCCATCTGCTGGCCGGGATAATGTACTACATTAGGCTGAGTTCTCAATGAGACTGGACTAATGCAGTGGTTCCAAGACTCATAATTCTTCCTAGGGTGGGGTAGAAGAGAATGGGGAGCCATCAAGCTAGGTTAAATTAGAAGGAGGACTGCTAGGTAGATTATAGTTGGAGCAGAGGAGAAGGCTTCCAAGCTGCTAAATAGGTAAAGATACTATATAAATGGGCAGAGAGTGAAGGAAGGAAGAAGTCAAGCCTGATCTTCATTCTTAAAATTCAGGTGTTGA